AAAAGCCTCCTGGTTCTCTTTGGTAAATACCATCTTCTTTGGATTCTTCAGCTTTTCTCTTTTAACTTCCTCCTCTTCACGTAATGCATCAAGAAACCTCCTAGCTGCGTCGGGACCACGGTAGATCACAGGAGGATCTGCTTTCCCATCAGATCTGACTACTATGTAACCAAAGGAGCAGACCTCATGTAATCCTAGTTTATCTGTAGCACCGCTGTTTCTTTCTTCTTTCATTATCAGTGCTTCAAAGTCCGCGTATATGACATAAGGCACCCACATCTGCTTCTGGTGGTCTGAATAGGAAAGGGTCTTWTCTACAAGCATCTGTATTCTCTGTGCCACCTYTTCTACTTCGCGACATATCTCATCCTGTGCTTTTAGGGCCTTAACACTGGTAAATGATAATAAACAGCAATCACAGAAGTACTTCTTGCCTCTGTGCTTCGTATGTCTGTAAAACAGTCTGCTAATATGCTTAACCCAGGAGTAATGCCCGCCGTAGTAAAAGAGGTGTATCCTTTCTCCTCTGCTTTTTTGATATTACCAGCGGCACTATTGTCTGATCCCTGACGCCGTAAACGTTAATAGCTAAGTCGTTTTCCTSCTCAAATATCGGTATATCCATCAGCTGCATGGGAAACTCCACACCATCCCATTCTAAATTATCCGTTGTGTACTTGCTTGGTCTGCAGGGATCCTTATATGCTGGGTACAACGCGGATCGTATTGCCCACTTAAAGCATAGATTATMGTCGTTCTTTACGTTGACTAKGGCTTTCTTTCTCTCTACCCAAATAGGTAGTGGCACGTAACTGCCTCCTCGTATAGGCACGTACCTTGCCATACTGATGTCTAATCCTTCTACCTCCTCTATTAMCCAGCCTGATCCTTCCCGCGTACAGTTGGAAAGAGACTCGGTAATTGCTTCCAATGCACTGCTAAGTGACTGTCTTAGGTTGGTTGATTCTAATATAATCAGCGACTTTGATCGCAGCATTGCTGTCATAATGACATCATCCTTTGCTAATCTTACCTGAACCATTATGCTTGCTTTCAGTGCACCCAGCTCCTTCAGCCCTTCCAATAGCGTCCTTTTCATCTTGTCTTCCGACTTCATCCAAAACTGCCCGACGTCGATATCACCGTTTCCGGGTATTGACACTGTCTTAAAGTTGCTTTGGGATTCCATATATAATAGGCAATATCTTTTACCTAATACCAGGTCCTCTTTATGTCATCGTAATCGTTCTCACAGTCACGACAATGCCAATACAGCTTGACCTTAGTAGGAAAAGACTTACCACAGGGGCAATCATAACTATCCTTACACTTTGTCTTTTTCATCTTTAAATGYTTCTTGAGATCAGCCTCCCTCTTAAATGTTCTACCACATTCTTCGCAATACATATATACTTAGATGATATTTTGGACTCTTTCCATTACCAAATTACAAAACAGTCAGTATCGCTCGGTAAATACGTGAATCACTACTTTACACAGGTGATCCTGGGGTTGGAGGTGCGCTGATACCCCCAACCCCTATACTACTACTTGATAGTCGGGTTAAATGCTATGAAACTTTCAAACAAAAAAATTTGAATTCATAGCCTTACAGTCGTTTCTGATCTTAAAGTTTATTCTATATAGGAGGATATGATGGATATTAAGGAACTGAATCCATTAATTCTATATATTCCAATTGCAGAAAAATACTTTTAATATTATTATAATATATATTATATCATTATTAAGGAAGGATAGACTAAAATCTTAAAGTTTATTCTATATAGGAGGATATGATGGATATTATGGAAGTGAATCCGTAATTCCATATATTTCAATCGCAGAAAAATACTTTTACTATTATTATGTTACATAATATATATAACATATATCATATAATTATTAAGGAAGGATAGACTAAAATCTTAAAGTTTATTCTATATAGGAGGATATGATGGATATTATGGAACTGAATCCGTTAATTCCATGTATTCCAGTCACAGAAAAATACTTTTACTATTATTATGTTACATAATATATATAACATATATCATATAATTATTAAGGAAGGATAGACTAAAATCTTAAAGTTTATTCTATATAGGAGGATACGATGGATATTATGGAAGTGAATAGGAAATAGGAATAGGATGAGAGCGACCACCAGGAGGAGTCTGATACACAGGAAGGTTTTCTCAAGGAGTGTGAGAAAGAAGCTTTAAAATCACTGGTCTTCAAAGATGTATTGACAAATGACACCACGCCGATGATCGGCCGTCAACAAGGTGATGACGACATTAACGAGAGCGGCGAGAAGGAGGAGGAGGATAACGACGACGAAACACAGGATTTATTGCTGTCAGAAGAGTTTCAAGAAGACTCTGAGAAAGATAAAAGTATGGTCCGCGCTTTGAAGAAAACACTAAGACAGTGTTCTTCGAATTCGCTGCGTTATCGACAGCTCCAGCAACTTCTCCAGGTTAGTTGSTATTGGGTTGTTTTTCTGTTACCACGTCCACGTATTGAATGTTTCTGTTTATTTAACTTACATACCCTTTTATGTTATTGATGGATCAATATCCAATTGTTCCGATTCTCTTAGGGCCATGTTGAAAGGATGCGAGAAGAAAAGGAGCGCAAAGAAAGASAATACAGACGAAGACAGGAAATCCTAGAGTCGAAAGGAGTGTCGAGGGAAAGCGTAGATCTCCTTCCGAGAGATGACATGGAACCCATGCCCCCACAAATCCAGCAAGAATTGGAAGCCATCCACCAGAAATTGCTAGAGAAGAGAKAACGAGAAGAAGAVARTAAGATAAAGACCGCTTTTGAAAATCCATGGGTGGRAAGAACCGAGCRCAAACTATACGCCTGCGTCTTAAAACTGCAGTCCGATCCAACCAACACAACCCAACGGAAGTCCACAAATTGTTTACAGGAGATTTTGAGTGACAAGCTGAAAACCCACTTCACCAACCTAAAGTTGTTCAAGTGCGACAAAGCAGTTTTGGAGAGGCGAAAAAAGTGTGTCGAATRGGGTCTACTAGAAGATAACTTAAAGCATCTGGTTACCTCATTGCATRATGCCTTGCCGTTCACCCCACAAGAGATGGTAGACGAAACCGAAGAGGAGGACGTCTTAACAATATCCGATCAAGAAGGGTCGGCCGACGTACCAAGTCAATCCCTTTTGMCTGCGCGATCTCAAGAMCACGAGGGTTTTATAATTGACCGAATGAAAAGGCGCAAAGAAGACTCTCAAGAGGCCAGGCCAAGTGAGAATAGCGCAAAGAGACCCAGGATAACTTCCCTATTGAGCTATTTCATRAAACCAAAATAAAAGTTYAGTGAAACTTAGATAATGACTAGTCTGACGAGCACAATTAGATTAGCAGTGAAGTTCTCAAACACACTAATAAAGGATCTACATTGATTCAAACTGACAATCAATAAAGTTTATTTATTTCAGTTAAATTTTCGCAAAGCGCGATTTAACAACGAGTTTGCTGTTCGTCCCTCTTGAAACTYGTAGCTAGAGTCCCTCAAAATAGCCGWCCATTGTCCAAAGCCATATCGTTTTAGTCCTGCTTTTAAGAATTCATCTTCGATCGGTGTGAAGAGAAGCAGTTTCCTTTTCTTTGGCTTGTCAGTAGTAGATCTCGGAGGTTCAGGCTCGAAGTCGTTTTTCTCGCGTTGAAGTTGCGACGATGATCCAGTCACTTCGACATTTCCGACGACAGCCGGCYCGTTGGAGTTCGGTTTTTYGACAACGGGGGAATCTTGTCCGAGTAAATTGCTCGCCAAATCGTTTGAGAGTYGAGAACGAACATCGTTGGTCAACTCAGTCCCTTTTTCTCCGTGCAACGTTTTCAGATATTCGTGAACCTTCGTGGTAACTTCGCGAGACCTTCGTTTTTGATAATGTACCCTAGCTACAACAGAGCTGTGCTTTTGATCTTCGGAAATCGTGCATTGTTCGTTGCTTTCGAGGTGTTTCCGACTGGCCGTTTCGACGATTTGACGGTATCGCGTCGGATGAATGTACTTGCCAGTTGCATCGAATRCTAATTTGCTCATCAGTTGTCCGATTTTACTGTGCTGACTGCCGTTCCTGGTGACGAGAACGTATTCGCAGACTGGTTTTAGATGAGGTCGTATGACATTAATGTATCCATCCAACACTTGCATGCTGGTGTCGGTCAAGTACAATGAATCAAATCCATACTTGGAGGTGGTCTTGAATCTTTTCTGGTSAATGAAACCCCCATTGCTTTTGGCCGATTCGACCATGTCCACYGTCAAATACTGATAAGTCATTGGACGAGAACCCTTAACTTTAATGAACAAATACACGGCGACAAATTTGGTAGCAAACGACAAGTCTGAAGGGGTCACCTTGTCAGGTGTTTCTCGACACACTTTAAGCACGCATTCATATCGCGGAAGGTGATAGGTGATCACCTGCAACAACTCCTCCATTGTGGCCCAGTGCCCCTTGGCTTCGAGTGTTTCAATGTCCAGATCATTGGTCCATTGTAGTCTCATCATTTTGGCCACTGTTTTACGTGCTCTCTTCAAATAGACCTCGGTGCACATTTGATTTCGCAAAACCGTATCGGATGATGTGCCATGGATCTTGCGGAAATCTAGCAAGTCTGATATAGCATCCAAGTATCCAACGCGACCTGCATGACCMAGTCCCCAATCCGTCTGCATGGCATCCGCAAATTTGAAAATGAAACTAGGTGAACTCAAGCAGAAATCCACTATGTCCCAACTTAAGTCTTCTTCGTCGTCGTCGTCTTCACAACAAAATTTCAAAAACTTAAAACTTTTTCGGATAATTTGTTGAGCCTGTTTTGGAGTTTTGCATCCCCCACCGCTTCCAATCAACCATTTCTCAAATTCTTTGCCAAGAGTACTTGAAATATCAAAGCATGGAACGATTTTTTTGACACTTTGACTTGCYTGAGTTRRGTTGACTTTTTCATCGCCAGAATTGGATGTTGTTYGAGTGGATACATCAGGCTGTTCGTCGAAAAAATAAAACCAACGATGTCTCTTTTTCACATGTTTTCTGCATCCTCTTCGTGTCCCAAATGCATCATGGTTGCATGATGGCACTGGACAGTGGAAAAGGCCATCTTCTTCATCTTCTTCTAAATGTAGTCTTTTTGGTTTCGGCAAGGCACCGTTGATTTTCRACCAATCGATTTCTCTACCGTGCTTACTCATTTGATTGATTCATGATTACTGGAATATTTGCTTTTATAACTTTCATATACCCCAAGAGACCGAATCTCAAAAGTCATTGGTTACTATAAGAAACTATGATCTTATATGATAAACAGGTTTTGTCTTCTCTTCTATTCCATTAATTTAAATCAATTAACCAAACTTATTGCTAACTTAATGCCAAACTAATTGCCCAAACTTATATTGTAATGCCTAAATTTGCCTGAACTTGCCCGAATAGCCTTTGTTCTTTTATGCTGACCATGCACAATACCACTAAGCATGTTTGAGCTTGTCTGCCCAAACATGCGCAGTCATGTCTATACATGCCTAGACATGTTTGAACTTGTTCTGCATTGTTTGAGACTTGCCCAGACACGTGCAGTTATGCATGAGCATGTTTGAACTCGTCCTGTACTGTTCGTTACATTGTCGGTTTGTCAATGTACCAAGAGCAGTCACCTTTGCAATTAGGAACATTKTGTTCCTAACTGAGATATCAACGATAGGAACGTTTATTCCTGTTGCGGCCAAAGAGGAACACTTTTGAAAAAAAGTATGCTTCAACAAGGGAACAGGTGTTCCCTTGCATGCAAAAWGGAACAATCAATGTTCAAAGGAACACAAATGAGGACCACTCGTTCTGATAATACATTGAATAGGAACAATTTTCAGCTTAAAGGAACCTTGCTGTTCCTGTGTTCAACAAAAGAGAACATTTTGTTCCGATTAACAACTATCTATKTTCCTATTTGCACTCAACAAATAATACTTGGTCCTCTAGACACCTAATGTATTCAGTTCTGAATAAGCAAAGGAAACATAAACAAAACTACGAGGAACAAATAGTCGGAATTTGACGATCTCAGTTGACTTTGAACGAAAATTAAARCAACTATCGATAAAATGATACCTTTCTAACTATCACTAACTTGGTGTCAATCGAATAACGAGTAGTACAATGTCCTATAAGGTTAAAAACATGATATCATTGATTTTGGGAAACGTTGATGATGACGGGAATGATGATTATTCATGATGATTATGATGACAAAGATGATGATGTTGATAATGTTGATGAAGATGATGATGATGATGATGACAATAATGATGTAGAAGAAGATGATGATGATGATGCTATTGGTGGCGATGATGATTATTATTATTATTCGCAGCACAGCAAGCAAGTTTTTTCTTTCTTTTATTAAATACAAATTACGATAACCGTTATTTTAGATAGGAATGACACAACTGAAAGTGTGCGCGCGTGCTTTGTGCTCTCATAAAGCACGTGCTCACAACCAATCAGAACGTGAGATTTATAACAGTTATTTTATAAATGAAATTAGCATAACAATACCCAAAGAGAGKTTTTGCACTGATTTATACCTTATTTATACCTTTGCTGTTATGAACTGTTATTTAGTTCTTTGATAGTAAAATCTGTTAAATCTTTGCTTATTTACCTAAGATAAAATGGCTGCCATCTTTTCCCTCGATATGCTTCAAATKTTCCTCAAATTTTTCATCATAACAATCTGTCATCTCATTGTCTAAAATAATTTCGTATTGTTTATTATCCAATCGATCAAAAGCGAGAATTCCGTTTGTAATTTGCACTGCGTTAMACTTTTYTGCACTGAATTACACTTTTCTGCACTGAATTACACTTTTCTGCACTGTATTACGTTTGAACAACACTGCTCTAAGCCAATCACAAYTGAGTATTTTTTCATGTATATTTATTACCTTTTGAACGGGAAGCTAAGTAACAAAAGACAAGGGAAAAAGGAGAAAAATAAATAAAATCAGGGCATATAACTAATACACTATTGGTTTGTTGTTAGGTTAAACATAAACATACCATGAAGACTCAAAACAGCCCAAAACGACAATAATGACAACACCAACAAAAGTAAAGGCATTAAAACCTTCATAAAAAATGTTGCCGAAAGACTYTTCAAAGCATTTGAGTAGACAGAAAAGGGTTAAACTATGGCGGAATGTGGGTGCAAAAAACTTTTATAAGTTTTCCTGCGTAATCCGTACAACCAAGKGCAGAGGGACTTAATCGCCGTCATGTCCGAAGTCCATACGATGACCCAGCGGATGTCTCGGGGTATGGCATGAAGGCACTATCTTTTTCCTTCTGTATTTTGGAATTAAATATCTAATTAAATTTAGTGGACGTGGGTTCGATTCTCACCGCATTATGAGTACATTTTTTTCTTCTTCCTCCTCATTTCATTTAGCCACAGATATTTTTTTAATATTTATATATTCTCTTTTATAAACGACTTTTAATGATTCAAGACGATAAGAATTTTTTTCTTTAGAAAKRATATCTATTTTTTGCTAACATTCAGCATTAACAGTTAAGCGATCTTCATCTCAAAAAGTCGAGCTGTGCTATCCTCGTTTCAAACTTTCTGGGAGCAGTTGACCGAGAAGTGGCTTTTGCTAAACTTGGAGTTTCAATCTTATATTCTATTACTAAATTAATTTCGTCGTCGTCGTTTACATGTTATAACGGAGCACCATACTTAAGAAAAATTGGTAACCCATCGTGTTAATTGCTTTTTCATTTGCTATAATAATAATAATAATAATAATAATAATAATAAT